AGCTCTCGAATTTTAAACCTCTACTGTGAAAGAGTGCAGGCATAGGAGAGACTCACTGTATGGATACCTACCCACTAAGCCTGAATATTGCACTTAAAATAATGATATGGGCTTTAAGGGATATTTTCCATACAATGACATTGTAGGAGGTGTAGTAGAAGTATATCTTTTTTTTATAAAAGAGGAAAATGAGGCTGAGAAGTATGAAGTTATTTGCTCATGGTCACATGACTAGTAATTGTCAAAGTAAGATTTGAAAGCATGTCATCTACCTCAAATAATCAACAATTGGTTAAAAACAAATGCATGCATATTAGGAAAAAATGATGAGGTTATTGTTGCTTTAAGTATGGATCAGACTCAATAGCCTTTAATGTCCTTTCCATCTCTAAGTCTTCATGAATTTATGATTCTCTCAGTGTCAGGCTATTTATGGTGAGCCATGTAGACATAGGAAGGGTAAGTCTCTATATGAGAGACATTAAACCACTGAAGTTTCAGCCTTAGAAATTGAAAACCCATTAAAGTTCCTAACATGGTATCAGTAACAGGCATCCTATTACATAAAGATTATATTTTACAAGATGGGGGAAATAGCCTTTTCTTTCTGTGATACTTAGAAATAATGGGGGCAAAAGAGGAAGGCTTGGGCCTGTGACTTCATTTTTTTAAGGAATGTGTGGTGAGGAAACTCCTTTTCAATAAGAAAGCAAATCCATAACTTATTTTTTTCAAAATTCTAGTCTTACAGAATTTCCTGACGTGCTCAAGGTCACATAGCTAGTAGGTCACAGACATGACTTGAACCTATGTCTATTAGGACTCCAGGGCCAGCTCCCTCTTTACTATAATATTCCGTCTTTTGTTCCATGTCTCTAAATATTTGTCTAAAATTCCTGCAGGTTTTCCTATATTGTGTTCCTGATTCTGTGATTTTTTTTTTTTTGTGTTTACATTCAAGGAATGATATTATGGGGTCTGAGAACTTGTCTATTTGATATTTTCACAACTGTATTTAAATACATTTGTTTTCCTTTTTAAGTCTATGTATTTTATGCATTTACAAATATTTTATTTCAGGAAGGAAACCATAGGCTTCATCAAACTGTTTAAAGGGGTCCATGATGCATAAGAGTTGAAAATCTCTGATTTAGGGCCTCAAGATATTAATCTAGGCCTATAAGTTTACAGATGGGGAAACTGAGTTCTAGAGACATTAAGAATCTTTCTCAAGATCATATAGCTAGTATGTGGGAGAGCTCTCCATATCCAACACTCTTCCCATTGCACTATTTGTTCCAAATTGGTTTTCTGAACATAACATCAAGATTTGTATACATACATACATGAATATGTTTGTGTGTGTATACAAATATATATACATATAATGAGAGTATATATATATATGTGTGTGTGTGTGTGTATGCCTATACACACATACATACATACATATATAGTTATATATTAAAAATAAATCTATGTCATTTTCATATCTATGTCTAATGATCTGTCTCTCTCAGTCTCTCTGTCTCTGTCTCTCTCTGTCTCTGTCTGTCTCTGTCTCTCTCTCTCTCTCTCACACACACACACCTAAAATTCAATAATGCAGGGATTGATGAATGAAAATTTGTTAGATAGATGCTTAGAGCTAGATGTATCACCTCTATCTCCATATCTATTGATGTATATCTAGTTATAGATAGATCTCTTTCTTTCCATCTATCTATCATATAAAAAAAATTAACAATGCATTGTTGAAATCTCTAAAGTTGAATTTAAAGTAGAAGTACTTCTAGGTGTAGTAAAAGAAGACATCTCCCCTGGGCCAGGGCAGGAAATATACTATGTCTGTAAGACCAGCATGGAGAAAAGTATTCACATAACACATTACATGAAAGGGTTAGCCATACATTCTCCTATACTCACCCTTTAGACTAAATGTGGCCTTGTCTCTTTTCCTCTTATTTTCCTTTTCCAGGCTGCTCTTTTTGGTCATTTTAGCCAAATTCCTCCTGTGTAGATATATTGAAGGGAGTAAGAAAGGCAATTCATTGTATGATTGACCAAGGACATGAACTTCAACCAAGGGATATCATTAATTAGGGAGTAGTAATCTGAATATACTTTTCTACTTTATGGGAAAAAATGCTTATTTAGTAAAATTTTCATTAATGATTTAATTATCACCAACCCTTCTCTTAATAGCAGTAAATCGTCGGTGGTGCCAGAATCACCTGATTAGAAAAGGACACGAAGCTTGAAAATATATGGAATATTGTGAAAATGGCCTTCACTGACTATAGCCCTCAGGAATATAACAACAACAACAATAATAACAACAACAACAGTAATAGCTTACATTTGGGTAACACTTACTATGTACCAGGCCCTGTGCTAAGCATGCTATAATTTTTATCTCATTTGATCCATACAACAACCCTGGACAGTAGATGTTATTATTATCCCTATTTCACAGATGAAAAAACTGAGGCAGAGATTAAACAACTTGCCCAGGGTCACACAGCTAGTAAATGTCTGAGGCCACATTTGAACTCAGGTCTTTCTGACTCCCTGCCCAATACTCTTTCCAATGCATCAGCTAGCTATGTAGGATAATGAAGACTTATAAAACAGAAGAGTTTATATGCTTCTTTGAACTTTTCTTCTGTATTTTGTGCCTATCAGAATGTTATGATTAGGCCTTGATCAATTAATTACAGTAAAAAAAAGGTTCACATGGGCTAGAACTCAAATTCCTGCAGTGATCGATTTTCATATCTGGAATACATATTTATTTCCCTAGGAAGGGTGGTCAGTTGTCAGTGATTGGCATTTACGTCCTTGTACAATCTGGTTCCAACTACAATTCAACAAGTATTGATTTAGTGCAGAAAGCTACCACTAGCAATACAAAATAAAAAAAAATGAAGTCTTTTCTGTCATCCAGGCTAATATATTTTATTTCAGGGGCTGGAGGGGGAGGATAATAGCATTTTTGTTGTGGTTGTTTTTGTTGTTGTTGAATCATTTCAGTCATGACTGACTCTGTGACCTCATTTGGGGTTTTTTTGACAAAGATACTGGAGTGGTTTGCCATTTCCTTCTCCAGCTCATTTTACAGATGAGGAAACTGGGGCAGAAAGGACTACTTGACTTGCCCAGGGTCACATAGCTAGTAAGTGTCTGAAGTTGGATTTGAACTCAGGTCTTCCTTATTACAGGCTTGATGCTTTATCCATTGTGCCACCTTAGCTGCCCCAATAAGTACAACAATCAACATATAAATAAACATAAGCCTATATTTGTAGTGAGGGCTGTCTCCCACATGTGACATAGGGGTGTGGTTTTGTGGCTGAAAGAGAGGCAGAATACACATCTCTAGCATCTTCTTCCCTAACCCTTCTCCAAGGAGGCTTTATTTTCTTCCAGGAAGTGAAGCAGGAAGATGGGGCCAGAAGCTTGGCCATTCTGCTCTCTTCAGAGTGAGGGGTTACTAGGCTAGAATGATATCTATCTGCTCCTTTAAATATTATTAGTCTAGGTAGGACTTCTTAAACTTTGTCGAATTGTGAACACTTCAGCTCTTCTTAAATTGTGGGTGGCAACCCCATATGAGGGAATGTGATTTTAGGTTTAAATTCGCTTCTGATCACCATTTCATTAATTGGAGGAAGGGACATGATTCCACACTTTATATCCAAGGCTTGAGCCCCTCTCTTACCAAATCCCAGTTCCATAATGAAAATACATAGCTGGTAGCAAAGATACCCATTTATCCAAGTTGATAACAGAGCAGAAATCAGAGAAGGTATACACAGGATAATATATACCAGACAACTGACTAATAATCATTTTCACAAATTTTCCATTCGAGCCAAACTAACCTAGTCACAATTTCATCTCCCACTTCCATGACTTTGCGCAAGCTTATGCCATGCCTACAATGTACTCCTTCTCCTCCACTCCCTAGAATCCCTACATTCCATCAAGTCTCTGATCACGTGCCAGCACATACAAGAAAATTCCCTTACTCCCTTATACCACCCAGTTATTGGTACTCTCTTCCCCTGCTTTAAATGATTATTTATAGGCTTTATTATTTACCTGCTTTATCCTTTCTTGCTTTGGACTAAGTAGAATGTAAGGTTCTTGAGGTCAGGGGCTGCTTTTTGTTTGTTCTGTTTCATTTTGTTTGGCTTGTTTGTTTCTTTTGTTTTGTTTTTTTTTTTTGGTGTTGCTTTGTCTTTACACTCTTGATGCTTAGGACATTTTAGGAGAATGCTTCTTGATTTGAAATGACTTGGATTGGAAAAATTAAGATTTTACCCTTTACCCCCAAGAGAAAGCTAAGAAATAGCAATAATTTGATTCTATTAAATAGGTAGATCCAGCATTCTTCACATATAAAAGTCTGTTTCAGTATTTGAAGCATTTGCATTTTAATTATGCAATAAAGGGAGAAACAATGAAGGAATAATTGGTTCTGATATTAGCCAATTAGAGCTGTAACTAAAAAACCAGAAACCTACATTGATTGCCACAGAATAGTCACAATATACATTGATCAGATGTTTTATAACATGTGGTAGCAATAAAAAAGAGAGAGGGAGGTATCCATTTTCCATGCACCATATTTGTTAAAATTTAAATTAATGAAAGCAGATTCAGAAAGCCTTACTACAATATAATTCAGCTTTTACTGCTAATGTTTTCTAAACTGGAGATACTTGGGGGTGAGCCTAATGATTAAAATTTAATTTAGAAATACGACAGTTTGATAAAGTGACCACGTTGTGCATAACTGGTCCCATATGAACAGAGACAGCAAACTGTCCTTTCAGTTCATTTTGTGCCATGGAAAACTGCTTCTTTTTCTATGAGAAAGCCTGTCAGAACACATAATTCTAGGATTGCTTATGGGACCTGTCTGGCAAAGGGGGCTTGGATTTTGATGAGATACTGACTGCATATTTCCTTCCCCTGTGCATTTTTGTTGACAGATACGACAACATATTCCACTGAACGATCGGAGCACTTTAAGCCCTGCAAAGACAAGGATCTTGCATATTGTCTGAATGAAGGAGAATGCTTTGTGATTGAAACCTTGACGGGGTCACATAAACACTGCCGGTAAGTGAGGGCCATCCACTGACCCACACTATTTTCTGCTCAGTCTTTGTCTGCAGAGCTGGGGGGCAATGGAATGCGGCACTACAGGAGACAAACAGTAAAGCCATCATGATGGATGAGTTAGAATTGTAAATATGGGAAGCCAAAGAGTCTCAACTTCTCTAATACCTGAGAAGTATAAACTGGAAGTCAAATTGATAAGGCCCAAGTTTGCTGCACTCAGAAAAAACTTATCAGATCAGCTTGAGGAGGTGTTATTCCTACAATACCTATACACATGTATTATTTAAATGTTACTTACACATTTAATATCATTCATTGTAAGACTCATACATGTTAAAGTATAATGTTCTTCTTTATTCCCTGATGTTCAGAAATATTTATTTATAATTAAGCTAGCCTTTTGAGGAAAGATGAAAGATATGATTATACACAGTCAGACCACCAGTTCAAACAGTCAACACAAGCTTCTGATTCCCTGTATCATCTCCAACAGACCATAGAGGAGTTCTAAGCCTGCTAGGAGGTCTTATGCTTTTGTCTCAGTTCATTAATTCAGTTACAATTTATCTGTTTTTAAAGGAAAAGAAAAACATCCGTGCTTGTGGAATACATTCTAGTAAGAATAACATTCCAAATGAACCAACAAAGCTCTGTGGCAAGCCAGTGACTGAGCTGCAGGGTACAAAGACAATGGTGAGGTTGTGGAAGGTGCTTGTTTATGGGGTCTTCAGAGACACAGGATTACACTCCAACTGCCAATAAACAAGGTCCAAACAGATTTAGACAAATAATACTCTTACATGCACTGCAGCTTCATGGCCCAGCACCCCCTTGTAGGAAATCAAATTAGCATCAGAAAAATATATCCTACTGAATTTTTATTCCCGGGACTATACTTATAATTTGTTTTTTCCTTGAACTGCATATGCTTCAGTGATCATTCATATCCATAGCTCTTTCCTTCCCTTTATTTGCTTTTTCTCATATGACACAGTTATTAAATTAATTATTCTGAATCATGGAGCATGGAAAATTGTGATGACTTTTTTTTCCCCTTCCACTAGTGTTATTGGTTCAATGTACAGTTCTCCTGCCCCTCCCTCATTGCTTGAATAAATCAACCCCAGAACCCTGGAATTACAAGTGCTGGAAATGAGATCCCTCTGTATTTGGATGAAATGAAAGCTTTGGACAAGATTGGGCCAGTTGTTTAAGCCCACAGTGTGGGGTAGTTCTGATATTGTTCTTTAGTATAGATTAAAAGTTAGCTAATTGCGCTGACCTAGCCTTGGGACTGCTGCTTTAGTAGAGAGTTGCAGCTCTACCTCAGCTTTCAGTGTGACCTTAGTCAAGTCACTTAACATGTAATTAACTCCTTGATCTGAAAAATGTGAAGTTCATAATGGATGAAACACCTCTATTGCTATATGTGCTATTCAGTTCACTTGATGTTGGCTTCTCTTTGCCTTTTACACCCTTACAATAATCTCAGAGGATGGGCTATTTTGAATCACGAACAATTAGTGGGTGCTTTGTATCTGATGTTTAAAGTCTTATGCTTGGCCAAAGAACTGTTTACAATATCTTATGCGTGTTTAAAAAAAGTTTGACTAGGAGGTTTTATTTATGTTTTTGGGAAGGGTGGTGATTCCTACAAACCAAGATTGCAGCATAGAGCATAGTAATACCTCTCTCTCTCTCTCTCTCTCTCTCTCTCTCTCTCTCTCTCTCTCTCTCTCTC